ACTTTTTTTTTTTTTTTTTTGATTTTTCGAGACAGGGTTTCTCTGTGTAGCCCTGGCTGTCCTGGAACTCACTCTGTAGACCAGGTTGGCCTCGAACTCAGAAATCCGCCTGCCTCTGCCTCCCAAGTGCTGGGATTAAAGGCATGCGCCACCACTGCCCAGCTTCATTTTGACTTTCTAAAATAAGATTTACTCCCTAATTTTGTGTTAAGTTGAGAAGGCTAGGCTGACTCCATGACAGGCTTTAAATTGGCAGTTTAGGAGACTAGGCCTAAGAACTGGGCAAGTCCAGGCTAGCCCAGGTAAGTCAATTACTAATAGAAAAAAACCCAGGCTCCAGCCTTCATGCCCAGGTAATAGAGTGTCCCAGCCACCTGGCCTGAGGCAAGGACAATGGGTCAGTAGCAGTTTCCAGACTTCCTCAGCTACTTCCTCAGCAACAGTTTCTAGACTCCCCAGCAAATTTCCAAGCCCCATGTCCCCGCAAAGGAATGGCCTAGAGATGGAGTAAGATAGAGGTCACCTGAAGAGGAACTTTAGAACACTTGTCTTCCCCCATCCCCTGGGAGAGGCTAATTAACATTCCTCTGTCAGAGGACACTTGTTGGACTGGCAGTCAGAGGAGAAAGCAAGAGGCTGATTAACATTCCTCAGACCACAGGGAAGGGAACCCACCTTCGGGTGGGGAGGAGCTCACAGACACATTCAGCAGGACAGATCAACCCTTGCCACCTACAGACAAGGGAGGTCCCTGCCACCTCATTCCCTAAAGACCAATCAGTTTAAAAAGTCACACTGTTCTGCCAATCACATTGTGCCTAATGGCTGCTGCCCTAAAGACTGTATAAAAGCTCACTGAACACACAGCACAGGGTCGCTGCCTCTCCTTTTGGGATGCAGGATGGCCCCAGCATGCTAGAACACTAAAAATTCTTCTTGCATTTTGCAGAGATCTCTCGTGTCCATGTGGTTCTCTCAGGGGATCTCCGCTAAGGCTCTGCTCGCCTGTGAGCTCACTTGGTTGTCTCCCTGTCTTAGTAATGGGAGACTCCAGCATCCTGGACTTCCACAGAATAAAATACACTTTGCATTTACATATTATTTGAGTCTGGGATATCATTCTTTGGCAAATCATGGACCAAATCAGACAAAGTGTCTGTCTGTATGTGTGCGTGTGTGCACATGTGAGCATAGGAAGCCAGAGGGACAAGTGGTTGTGAGCTGTCTGAGGGCCACTGAGAACCAAATTTGAGTCCTCTGCAAAACCAGTGCGCGTTCTTAGCTTCTGAGACAACCCTCAACCCTTGGTTTGCTTTTGACAGGATCTTGCTGTGTAGCCCAGGTTGACCTCTAACTCAAAATCCACCTGCCTAAGCCTCCTAAATGCTGTGGTCACGGGTATGTGCCATCATGCCTGACTACAGTCCACTTTTAAATAAAATTCCACGAGGCCTAATTACCTAACAAAGGTTAAATAAACCATACTAGGACGACGGCTACCCACCTGCCTGCCACGAGGAACAATGTTCTCTGAAGATGCCTATTAAGGATCTCTGCATGCTTGTCTATTAAGGACCCTGCAACCTGACTAGAACACCAGGATTAAGGAGAGCTGCACTGCTGTAAGTCAAGAGTCAAAATTACCTGGGCCCTTTCATATCTGTCTAACCTTAGTATTCGAGCCAACTTCAAAACAAATAAGCTTCTCACTGCATCACTAAGTGTGGCAGACCTCTGGGCTCCACCATTCCTAATGCTGTAGCATCAAAGACCGATGAGAGCGGACTGGAGATACAGCTCAGCTGGCAGACTGCTTGCCTAACACACACTAGGTTCTGGTTTCAACCTCTAGCATCACGTCAACCAAGAGTGGTGGCACAGTCTGTGGTCCTAGCACTTAGTAAACGGAAGAAGGAGGATAAGAAGTTCACCCGCATCAGGAGTGGGCCAGTCTGGGCTAGAGAATCTGTCTCACTTTCTTTTCCTGTTGCCGTGATGAAAAACTCTAATAAAAGCAATGTAGAGTTCTAGAGTACCATCCATCATAGTGGGGAAGTCAAGGCAGCAGGGCTCCAGGCAGTGGCTCCCATCACACCCAATCAGAAAGCAGAGTATGAGGACAGCAAGCTGTCACTCATCTCCTAGATTATACAGTCTCTGGCAGGGCATGGTTCCAACCATAGTGGGTGGGTCTTCTCCACTCAATTAATGTAGGCATCCCCAGAGGCCCTGTGAGAGAACTCTGTGAGTTCGAGGCCAGCTGGGTCTACAGAGTTACTTCCAAGACAGTCAAGGCTACACAAAGAAACCCTGACTTGAAAAACCAAAAAAACAAAAACACAAACTCTGTAGAGCTGGAGAGCTGGCTCCGCTGGTGAGAGCAAACTACACAGAGACCCAGAACCATGTTGAGCAGCTCACAGCCACCTGTAACTCCGGCTCCAGAGGAGTTGATAGTTCTGGCCTCTGCACTCACAAGAATAAATCTACACACATACACATAATTTAAATAAATAAATAAATAAATAAATAAATAAATAAATAAATAAATAAATAAATAAGGGTCTCGCATGGTAGCTCATGCTTTTAATTCCAGCACTTGGCTCTGTGAGTGCCTGGCCAGCCTAGTCTAGAGAGTTCCAGGATAGCCAGAGCTACACAGTGAGATTCTGTCTCTAATTAAAAATTTAAAAAGAAGCCAGACAGTGATGACCCACAATTTTAATTCTAGCACAAGAACACACCAGACACAGAGGCAGACAGATCTCTCTGAGTTTGTGGCCAACCTGGTCTACAAAGCAAGCTCCAGGATAGTCAGGGCTACACAGAGAAACCCTGTCTCGAACAAAACAAAAATAAAAACTAAAACAAAAAATTAAATAGATAGATAGACAGACAGACAGACAGAGGAATATAAAGAAAAAGAAAATCTGTTAAAGAGATTCCCCAGCTTTGCAGTACAGTCTGCTAATGCTCTCACCAATGTTTGCAACAAATATATGTCTGACTTCCTTTTGTTCTGTGACTACAAAAGTTCATTTAATTGTCCAGGATAGAACATACTGGAATCCTTGTTCCCAGGCCACAGTAGCTCAGAATAAACTATTTTTTTTAACTTCCTTTAAAGGAAGAGCCATTATTTAACATTATGGTATTTACAGACACCACCAGCCCAAGCCTGCTTTGAATTGTTACACAAGAAACTCACTTCACAAGCTCAGGTCTTCCTCGGATGCTTATCCAAAGATCAGGAGACTATAGCTGAGTCCTAACTGGTTCTCACACAAAAGAGAACAACGACTGGTTTCTCCAAATATGATTAACATTCAACACTATAAAGAGACAGAACATGGAGGCTGAGTGTGCGACTCAGTGCAGCTCAAGGCCCTGCAATCAATCCCTAACCCCGAAAGCAACCCAGTTGAAAGAGGACAGAAGGCCCCACAATGCTAAAGCATTTGTCTAGCATGCACAACGCCTTAGGATCAATCCTCAGCATCACGCACAAACAAAACAAGAAGGAAACAACCCAGAAAAGAAAGCTTTGAGACTGGCCTAGTGGCACAGGTCTATAACCCCAGGTCCTGGAGACACAGAGGTAAGAGGATTGTAAATTCAAGGCTTGCCTAGGCTAGAGAGCAAATTCAAAGCCAGTCCTTCGTAAGACTGTCTCATATGTAAAAAACAAAACAAAAAAAACAGCAACAAAACAAAAAACCTGGAGAGGTAAGGTGAGGTAAAGAGGTTCAGTAGAGCCCTTGTACGCAAACATCTAGAACAAGTCAGAGACGTGTGAATGAGCCAGCACCTGTTCAGCTTCTGATGAAAATTTCTGGGGCTCTGGTCCCACCCACTCTGCCCCCTCCCCTCCTCCACCCCAATACACATACCTCTTTGGAGCACCAGGCACATTTTGGGTGGATCAATAGGCATTCTTCACATGAGGTGGCACTTCCACTGGTGCATATGTTGAGCCCTTCAAAGCAAGAGGAAAAGCCATCATTCAGTTTCTAGCTATAAGCATCATTGACAGGGATAGCGGGATGATGGCTCAGGGGATGATGTTCTGCCAGAAAACCAGAGTCCAGTTCCCAACACTCAAATGAAGAAGCACACAATCACATGTAACCAACTCCAAGGAATCAGACGTCTTCTCCTGGCCTTCCCGGGTGCACATACACTAATAATAATAATAATATTAATAATAAATAAATAAATAAATAAATAAATAAACTAATGAAGTCTTAGAGTGCCTGGGGGAGAAACAGGATGGTAGTCGCTCCCTTAACAGGTCTGAGGCTATAAAGAACCCCAGTGCTAACTTCAGGTTTTGCTGAGGCAGGTTTTGCTGAGGCTAAGGCAATCTCTGAAATCTCTGCCAATCACGTGTGATTCGTGTTAGCAATTCCTGCTTCTGCTGAGTCCATGTGGGCTCCATCTCTTTTCCCTGTAAAAAAGCATACCCTCCTCTTTATGATGGAAAAGGTCCTTTTACACTTAGAGTACTCAAAGTTACACTTAGGGTTGGGGGTGGCGGTAAAAAGAGAGTTCAGTTTCACTTAGATGTTAGAGGGGGGAGAGGTCTTGAGCATGGGAATGAGATGAAATCTACTGCTCTCTCTCCTCCCCTCTCACCTGCACCAAGAGCATAGGTGTCCTTGGTAAACCTGCCCATGTCCAGTCTTTCCCTTCCCCTGAGAAACAGAGCTGATGGCTTCTGGCCAAGAGCAGAGCTTTTCTCTGAATGAGAAGGATCCAATTAGTGTTTAAAAGACCTTCGGTCTCCCGCCCGCTGCCTCATAAAGAGGATGGGGGCGTGCTTACTGGACGGAGGAAGGAGGTTCCCAGCCTTTGCTTGGTTTTGCTTACTTTTATTTCTTGAGAAGGTTCTAGATATCCTAACCCAGGCTGGCCTCGGCTCCCAGGCCTCTTGCCTCTGTCTCCTAACTGCTACGGTGTACAAGAATGTGTCAGCATGCCTGACAAAAGTTCTGCTCTGAAGGGAGGAAGATAAGGTGAAGAAAAGAAACTCAGAGAACGGTAAAGAAAATACTGGGAAGTAAAAGAGTGTTCCCAAGTTCCACTAAATATCATAAAAATAATTATATATAGGAACCCACAGTGGTTACGTAAAGGGACTGGCCAGACAAGCTGGATGACCTAATTAAATCTCTGGAATCCAAGTATGGAGGAATGAGAGAACGCCACAAAGTTGTCCTCTGACTTACACACACACATACCGAAGCACAAACGAGCGTACACACACACACAGAGTCACTCAGTCATGCATGCACACAAATTAAAAAATAAAAACTAATATTGCAATAATCAGTCCAGCTCTATACACTAACGGCAAGTTATCTGGAAAAGAAACAAGTTATCTGGAAAAAAAAGAAATCAATCCCATACACAACATCAAAACACAAGCAAATAACTTAGAAATAAATTCCAATAACAAAGGAGATTTCCAATCTTGAAAGAAAGGAAGAGAGAGGAGAGGAGAGAAGATGGGAGGGGAGGGGAGGGGATGGGGGGGGAGGGGGGGCAGGTCGTGGAGGAGCTGAGTGCAAGTCCCAGCCGGGGCCAGGGCGTGAGTGCACAGGCG